AGCAACTTTAATTGCATCTGCAACCTTAATTCTCTTTTGCCACGTAGGGTAACATATTCACAAATTCTGGGGTCAGAATGTGAACATCTTTGGGAGAGCCATTATTCTACCTATCATAGTCTCACAACAGCTTGACCCCCATCTCTCCCTTCTCTAGGGATGATAGGGACACCCAGGAGGAAGCTGTGGTTTCCCAAGTGAATAGGTTTCCAGGCCTTCTCCTGGGTGAAATGGAGACAGCCATCACCAATGGCTTATGAGTAAGTCCCTTATTCTTGCATGTGAATAAGGGACAACAAGTAATGGCTTAGAACTCTGCAAATTTAGGCTGAAAAGGAGAGATTTTTATATGTTCCAGTTTTATGTCCCCTAAAGTAAGGAAATGAGGTATTCATTCCTAGGTTCACAAGGTGTAATATAGTTTTTTTTAAATGCCCTCTTGCCTCAGTTTTGAGGGCCTGGCTAGGGGCCAGTTGGTTCCCCTTTTTTTTTTTTTTTTTTTGGTGAGGAAGATTGTCACTGAGCTAACATCTGTGCCAATCTTCCCCTATTTTTTTATGTGGGGCGCCACCACAGCATGGCTTGATGGGCAGTGTGTAAGTCCGTGTGGGTACCCGAACCAGTGAACCCTAGGCGGCCAAAGCGGAGTGTGTGAACTTAACACTACGCCACTGAGCAAGCCCCTGTTTCCCCTTCTTGAGCAGCCAGTCAAGTCCACAGCCCAACCACCTCCGTTAGCAGATTCTCACACTCCAGCTGCTATATACCCACTCTAATTGCCCCAGGGCCAGGTGCCAGACAACCAGGGACAGTCCCTATTTCCCAGAGCCCCAAAATATTCAAATCAGCCAATCATAAACCTTCATACCTTGCCTCACTTGTTCCTTCCCACAGAAACCACAATTAGGTGCTTGCCCACAGTTCCCGTTTCTCCCTCTGCCTCATGACTCTGGTGCTTCCCTTGACTGGCCCTGCGTGGTGTGCTGTTTCTCCCCAGGGAGCTGTGAGTATAACAAAATGGTAACACTCTTTCCAGTTGCTCTCTCTAGCTCTGTCTGACCTCACACAAGGTAATACGGTTAACATACAGAGTAAAGTGTGTTTAATCAATTTTTCTCACTTTTTAATTGATTGATTTTCTCTCTGCAGAGGGTTCAGGGAAGACCTTTCTCAATGGGTTCAAGGCCAGTTTTAATGCTAACAGAGGACAGTCCAGAAAGGCCTGAGGCAACTCTGCCGAAGGCACCCCTCTGCCCTCTCACCTCTGAGGCCCAGAGACCCCCCTGCGCCACTCCATAGCAGATGGCAGCAGAGAAAGTGCAGGGAAGGGACCACTTGTAACACTGTTTCTTTGGATCTGTCTTTTGATTGGTCCGGAAACCAGTTTCCAGGGATAGGAGCATGAATTCTGACTGGAAGAAACAGCTTCCCTTTCACAAATGGCGTGAAGGTGCTTGGCAGACCCATGATGCTCCTGCAAGTCTTTCCTGTTTCCAACAAAACTCCTGAATCTCCTTCATCATAAACACTGCACCATCTGCCCCAAACTTCCAACCTTACCTCTCATCTTACGAATCCTTGTCCCCTTTCCAGTCATGAGCCCGACTTGCTCCAGCATAATCTCCAGACTCAGGGAGGAGCAGAGAAGCTGGATCCAAGTACATCTCTGGGAAACCAGCGCAGGAACTGGAAGCCTTCCCCCTCACGGCTCCCCTCTGCCCCTCCTATCTCACTCTGTCCCATTCTCCCCTGGCTTTCTCTCACTGGGATAGTCTTTCTTCCCGCCATTTTTCTCCTATCCACTCAGGCAAGGAATGCAGTAGATTCCACCCATAGACACAGACCTAGGAGAGATAGACAAAGCATTTATTTCTTGGCGGAGGGAGCTCATGTCTCTCCTATGAGGGTGAGGGGATGGAAACTTCCTACTCTTTTGTCTCTGCCCTGCTCTGAAGGAGAAGTGGTGCAGTTGTGTTGAGTTTGCTGACTTTGAGAACTGCTATAGAAATTCCCCTTAAAACTCTGAGTAATTTCCTTCCCCTAGTCATGCTTCCAGCTGAATTGTTTGTAAATTTTTCTTAGTGGGAGCTCCAGTGGTCTCTACTGGAAGATGCATACATACCACTTTGTTTCTGCTGTGGATCAAGGTTCATCCTGCTACTCCTTCCAGTTCTTCAAGTCCAGCTCTGGGCTCCCCTCAACCTCACATAGAAAGAACCCCTCCCTCCAGTATGTCCACTGCCCCAGTGACTCTTCCCAAAGCCAGTCCCAGCCTGTGCTCTGTGCTCTGGCCACGCTCCTCCCTGACCTGTGGGACTCAGATTTGGGCTCATTCATCAAGCAAAAGCCTTTATTCTTAAAGTAACCATAAGGCTAATATAATTCAACTTTTTGATATATTCAACTGTCAAAAGCAAAATGAATAGCCTAGTGTAAAATCTACACTCAAGAAATAGCTGTTGCTTGAGGTTTGTTTAAATGAAACATTGTTCCAACTCATTTCTAACTTTTAAAATGTTTTCTGTCCTCGGAACACAGGATGTGGGAACAGTTCCCCAGGTTAATCAGTTACCTGTTTCCCTGTTGGTTCCGGGTCACAGAAAGTACCTGGAGTTCTTTCTCCTTCAGTCACTGTGATTGTTTCTCATAGTCCCAAATGAGATCCTCTTCCCCCTCCCCACTTATCCCCTGCCCTGGTGGGCAGCTGAAAGTGCGGGGAGAGGGAGTCTTGCTTAATGGTTGACAGCTGAGTGTATTTGGCTAGCTCCACTGCTAACTCTGGAAACTCAGGTAAGTTTGCTTAACCTCTCCGAGCCTCAGTTGTCTGAAAAATGGGGCCAATAATAATGGTGCTGATACTATTTTATGTACTAATAATTTCTGTACTCTAATAATAGTATGATACTACTTCTGTACTAATTTCTGTAATACAGTAATAATAATAATTTCTGCACTGTAATAATAGTACTGATACTATTTTCTTTACTAATAATTTCTACACTTAATTTCTGTACTAATACATATATAATAGAAGGTCTGTGCTACTTGTAATGTAATCATAATAATAAGTCTATAATTTCTATGCTGATAATATCTGTACTAACACTAATAGTTTTCTGTAAAATGAGGCTAATAGTATCTTACAGAGTTATTCTGAGCATTATAAGAGAAAAAACAGGCCAAATATACAGAACACGGCACGTAGTATGTGCTTAATAAATGTTAGCTATTACTGTTATTATTATTGTTGTTGCTGTTAGGCTTCTAGTCAGTCTGCCCTGGCCCTTGACCAGAGAAACTTGTGAATAAAACTGAAAATGGGCTTGTTTTCAGGTCTGTCTTGGTAAAGAAAAGACCAGCCCCGAGAGGGATCTGTGGAGAAGGGAGAGGGTCATGTCCCCCTGGGGCCTCTTCATGAGCCTCCGTGCTGCCTTCCCGCCTGTGAAGATCGTTTGTTCCTGGAAAGAAGAGAAATGGGTATGAGAGGGGTTGGAATGGACCACATGGTCAAGAAGTAGGGGTTTCTGAACTCTCTCTGGGTGGAATGGGAAGCTCGTTCAGAGCAACAGGGGTGATGGTCAGGAGGAAGGTAGGAGTTTAGCTCCCTCCCTTGTCTCTCCATCGTGGGGAGGTGACTTGGGCCTTTGCCCCAGAGAAAGACATCTCAGGAGTAATGGTGGGTCCAGAGCAGGAAAGCAAGATCCCTAGAAAGACCCAGGTCTGGAGCAGAAACGAATATTGCGAGTTTTCGTGGCTGTAATGGGTGGTTTTGGGGGGAGGGACTGAAAGGGAGTGAACCCGTGTGCTCCAGTCTTTCTCGCTTCCCCTGCCAGGGGGGAGCTTCCTTACTGGGTAGGAGCAGGCTGATGCAGCTTTAGGCTGGCCCTTAGGATGACATTTTTTCAATTAGATTTGTAGGGCTTCATTTTGCGCTCTCTTTTATTTTACGTGGAACCATTCCTCAAACTACTTGAAGCAAAAGCCCGTGAATGAAAATCAACTATTTCACATATTTTAAGAAGTAAAAAAATCCAGAAAAATCAACATGTATGATTCCCCCACCCTGATTCTCCACTTCCAGCCTGGCAGTGCCCAGGTCTGTGTCCTCAGATGCCTGAATAATTAACAAACGAACAAATAAACGCTCTCCCTCCAGGCCTCCTGCAGAAGTGGAGGTACAATACCTTCTTTCTTGTGTTCATTCAAAGCACATCTCTGAACTGAATGTTCATAAAGCACTAAACAGTCTTCACCAAACAAATGCAATTTTTCATAAAATAAAAGATAATGCAGGATGATTTCATTTATATGAAGTATCTAGAAAAGCAAATTTAGAGAGACAGAAAATAGATCATTGGTTGCCTAGAACTGAGGGTAGGAGTGGGGATTAACTTCAAGTGGCATGAGGAAACATTTTGGGGTAGTGGAAATGTTCTAAAACTGGATTGCGGTGATGGTTGCACAACTCTATAAATTTACTAAAGTCATTGAATTGCACACTTACAGTGGGAGAATTTCATGATAGGTAAATGATGCCTCAATAAAGCTGTTTTTTTAAAAAAAGTTATGTAGGTAACTAGTTTAAATTGCTGTGCCAAATAACATGGTGGTTAATACCTATATTATAGTCCTGACCACTTGCAAACCATGTGAACTGGAGAAAATTATTTCACATCCCTCAGTGTAAAGTGGGAGATGATAATGCATATCTCTAAAGCAGAATGCCAATTAAATGAGATAATTTACAGACAGCACTTAGCTTAGCAGCTAGCACAAAGCTACTGCTTCTGAAAGTATTATACTTTACCCTAGAACTAGGAATGTGGGATGCCCTGCAGAGACGTGTGAGTGTTGATCATTTCCTGACTTGGGGAGGGAAATTCATTCTGGGTTTTTTGATGGGAATGATCCACAAAGAACATGTTATAGCATTGTTTCCAGCCTCTCAGGCCCACTAATGCCACTGTGTCCAGTGGTTCCACAGTTCCAGCCTCCCTTTCCAGGGGTCTCTGGACATTAACTTTCACCTCCTCCTGGGTCAAATCGTGAGGATAAAAGGAGTGAGACTTGTTATCAGCACAGGGAGAGAGCAGAGGGCTTCAGGTGCTCTGGGCCCCTTGGTGACTGTCCCAGTCTGGCTGCCCTGCGAGATGCTCTAAAGTAGGTATGACCTGGGCAACTAGACGTGCACACGAGACCCTGTCTCCTGGGAGACGCCCGGATGAGCCCAGAAAAGTCAAGTCTGACTATTGGGAGCAAAATGGGATAACTGGTGTTTGTCTCTAGGAAGAGGCAGTGTGGGAGGAAGGGGGCTGGACCCTTCCTGAGGGAAGGGAGGGCTTGTTCTCTCCTTATGTGTGGAGGACACTTTATTCTGAAGTTTTTAGGGACCCAGGATGGACAGAATGAAGTAGCAGTCATTCTTAAAAGAAAGAAGCATACAGACGCATCATTCACACCCTCACATACCCCATTACCACTCTATCCTTGCAGGCTGGCCTGCTCATTCATTCGTTCGTTCAACATATATCTACTGAACTCCTGCTACATCTCCAGGGCTGTTCTAGACAAGGTCCATGTCCTCACGGACCTTATGTTCTAGTGGGAGGCACAGACGATGAGCAAGGAATCAAGTGAATCTATACCTAAAAGCTAACAAGAGTAGGTATGCAGGAGGTGGGGGGCTGGTTTAGGTTGGGTACTCAGGGAAGACCTCTCTGAAGAAGTGACAATTTAGCAGAGCCTTGAGGGATCAAAAGAAGCAAACATCTCTTAGCAGGGTGTTCCTGGCAGAGGGAAGAGAATTTGCAAAGGCCCTGGGCCACATGTGAGTTCTATGTGTTCAAGGAGTGGAAAGAAACCGGTGTGGCTGGAGCAGAGAGAGAGGAAGGCACGGTGGTTGGAGATTAGTTCAGGGTGGTGGTCAGGGCCCAGACCTGTTGGCCTTGCCGGCCACGGGAAACGTGGATTTCATTCTAGGTGCGATGGGAAGTCCTTTGGAGGGTTTTGAGCAAGGGAAGCAGGTGATCTGATTTAGAGAAGATTATTCTGGCCGTGTGGAGAATAGACTTTTGGGTGTAATAGACTTTCTCATCAAACTACTAGTACAGAATTTCACACCAAAGGGAACAGCCCCTTCTACCTGAGAAACCTGGTACTCTCTGAGGTGGAAAGAAATAAGGACCGTGGACCTCACATTGCTGGAATGAGGAGATGGGTCTCTCTTCCTGAGGGGTCTTCTTTTTCCTGTTTAGAGCCTGCTCACGGATGGGTCCCTTACTTTCCCTCAGCCCTGAGAATAAATGGATTTGCTTGTTTGTTTGTTTTTTTGTGGAGCTTTACCTTTAGAAACAATTCAATCCCCATTAATTCTCTGACATTGAGTCTTGAAGACATTGAAGAAAACATGTATTAAGATCTGGAGGAAATTTGCTATATAAAATGTTTTAACATGAAAAGAATCAATTACCGCCCCGTGTGCCATGCATGCTAATTCTTTCCTTCTTTTTTTAAAACATCTCTCCAACTCTAACCAGATCTCCATTGCCTGGACTGAAAGAAGACCCTAGGTGAGGCTTCCTAGCCAGAGACACCTTTCCATAAAATAACCCAGAGGGGCCAGGGCAGAGGAAGGTAGTATTAGTCTGCTAGGGCTGCCATAACAAAAAGCACAGACAGGGTGGCTTATACAACAGAAATGTATTTTCTCACAGTTCTGGAGGCCAGATGTCCAAGATCAAGGTGCCAGTGTGGTTGGGTTCTGGTAAGGCCTCTCTCCTCCGTTTACACGTCCGCAATCCTCTTGTTGGGTCCTCACATGCTTTTCCTCTTTCCTCTGTGTGTGATTGGAGAGAGAGCTCTGGTGTGTCACCTGAGGACCCTATGTCTGTGACCTCTAATTTTCATCCAAACATTCGTTTAATCCATGGTCACATCCCTACACTCAAGAAGTCCCCACGTAGTCAATGCCTCCTCCATAAGGCCCAGCAATGTGGGGCTCTCAAACTCAGTGTTCCCAGGGGCCAGGCAGATGACATACATTTCAACAGAAGCAGACGTTATCTGCCAAAAAGCATTCAAATACATTTAACATTTTCAAATGGTAAAAAAGTTTTAAACATCCTTCTAGGGGCCAGCCTGGTGGCATAGTCGTTAAGTTCACGCACTCTGCTTCAGTGGTCCAGGGTTCGTGGGATCGGATCCCAGGCATGGACCTACACATGGCTCATCAAGCCATGCTGTGGCGGCATCACATACTCAGAATGGAGGAAGATTGGCACAGATGTTAGCTCAGGGCCAATCTTCCTCACACACACACAAAAAATTTAAACATCCTTCTAGTCAAACAAAATACATCTAAAGGATTAATTTGGCCTATAGGCTCCCAGTTTGTAACCCCTGGTGAGTATAGGGGGTGTGACCTTTGTTCCCAAGGGTAGGGATGTGGGAGAGAGAAGAATGTAAGCTGACCCTTCTTCCCACAGGTGCCTCTCCATGGGCAGCTCTCCTAAGACCCTTGACCTTCAAATCCCTGCTGGAGCTGGAGGCAGAAATGTTCTGGGTCTGCAAAACAGTTAAGGGACATTAAGATAACACCATCCTATCCCCCCCCCCAAAAAAAATTAGGGCATCTTTCTAATATTGTCCACAGCAGACCAATTTATCTCCCTCTCATGGGAGAGAAATTTGGGTTTATTACTCTATTTCAGTATAAAGCAATAGCAAAGTTAATATAAAACCAAAGTTATAAAATAATATCCCTTTAGGATCCCAATTTAAAATATTCCTCTTCTCTGAAAATATTAGAAACGATCACTTTCCCTCTAAATATGCAAAGAGGAATGTTTCCAGAATTAATCTGGAATCTTTGTAGCTCTTTGGATGAAAAGATCACTAACTGAAAATTCCTTTGTTACATTTTGACATTGTGGACCTTAAAGACAAAACTAGAGGCCAGGCATCTGCCAGAGGAACAAGGAGCCCTGATGTCTGAGCCCCACTCTGAGAACAGTGTCCCATTGACCCAAGAGACCTCAGCACAGAAGCCTTCATCATCTGGTTAGGGTTAGGAGTTGAGACGGAAAATTGGTCCAAAGCCTCTACCTATGTGTCTTCCTTAAAAGAAGCAGACTTCTTTAGGTTTTTGAGGTTTATCTCTGTCTTTAAAATATTAAACTCCCACTAGCGCCTCCCAAGTATTTCCATTTCTCATTGTGGCTACAAATTGGGAGACATAGTAAATTACTTAATGACAAGGTAAAATTAGGGGAGATTTTCCCAGTTTTAGGGTTTCATAATGAAAGGAACCAGATACTTTATCACGTTATATCTGATCAGTAGTATTATATATATATATATATATATATATATATATATATATATATATATATAACATATATATGTCCTGAGTTTATGCTTGTACTTCTGGTTCTAGAGCACGGGGGACTGCAAACCCCTACGGGTGACCCAGCAAGGGAGATGTTAACTAAATAGCCGGTGAATGTGAAATCACAAGGCAACATGCGTACCAAAGGGAAGAAACGTGGAAATGTCAGAGGAGGATTCTTAGCCGACTGGGAGTTTAGGAACAACTTCCCTGAGAAAGCAGAGGGAGCTGAGAACAGAAAGATGGCAGGTGTTCCCTGGGAGAAGGGAGGAGCACAGCAGCTGGCAGGAAAGCCCTGAGATGGAAGGGAGAGCACAGTGTTAATGGAGCTGAAAGTTGACCAAGGTGGCTGGACGGAAGGGAGAATGAGAGGGAATGACACCCGATGAAGCAGGAGAGGTGTGGACCTGATGACTCAGTGCTGTGAGCCACAGCAAGGAAGCTCCTACCGTGTTGTAAGTGGTGTGGGAGGGGGATCCTGATCATCTTATGCTGTGAAATGATGACACTGGTTGTGACATGATAAGATAGTAGAGGGGCCTGAGCAGGCACAGGGCAACCAGACTGACCACCACTACTGTAAGTTAGGAGAGGACGGTAAAAGCTTGGACTAGCGTGGGGGCAGTGGAGATGGAGAGGAGGAGACAGGTGTGAGAGCTATTGAGGCATATGAGTGGTTGGATGTGAGGGGCAAAGGAGAGGGAAATGCTCAGCTAACTTGGCTTTCTCACTGGAGCACTGGGGTGTATGGAGGTGCATTCCCAGAGACAGGGGACACGAAGAGGAATGAATTGGGGGGTGAGAGCATAAGTCAGTCTTGGACAAGGTGACTTGGAGGTGCCTTTGCATCTCCCAGTGACCCCTGGTCTCCCAGGTCACAGATCCCCACCTGTAACGCTTGCCATAGTAATGGAAGGAGGTTATCTCCCAGGTGTGGTGAGACAGAAGAGAGCCTCTTGGTGATGCTCTCTTTCCAGCTCCCACCCACTCTGGAGCCTCTCCAAGCAGTCCACTGAAGATGCTTTATTTTTTTCATTTTGGTTGAAAAGGAAATTCAAGTCTCCTGTTTTGAGGAGAAAGTGGGGGGGGTCTTCTTAGCATGGGTATGATGTTCCGTCTGCTCTTCCCCTTCCTGCCCTGGAGGGAGTGGCCACTCACTTTCAACTTGGAGAATCAGTTGAAGCAGGAGACAAGGGAGAGAGCCAGACCCCTGAGAACAACACTGGAGAATGAGGACTGGCCTGAGCCTAGCCCAGGGAGTGAATTCTCCCGCCTCTACTCTATAATCCAACCAGAGGAGCATCTTTCAGTTCCTCCAACATGTCATGCATCCTCTCCCTTATGTCCTCACACATGCTGCCCCTTCCCCTTCCTCCTCTCCTACATCCCTTTCATCTGGACATGTCCCTAACCACAATTCATTCTGTGCTCAGACATTACCTCTTTTAGGAGGACTTTTCTAATGTCCCTGGCTGGGGTCAGTGTTTATGGCAGAGAATGCTAATAGCAGACACCAAATATCCATTCTCTCCTTTCTTTCTTTTTTTGTGAGGAAGATTGGCCCTGAGCTAACATCTGTGCCAATCTTCCTGTATTTTGTATGTGGGACCCTGCCACAGCGTGGCTTGATGAGTGGTGTGTAGGTCCACGCTGGGATCTGAACCCGCAAGCCCCACTGAAGCAGAGCAGCGGAGCATGCGTACTTAACCACTGCGTCACTGGGCCAGCCCAAAGAGTGTGTTTTGTCTTTGTTTTTGTTTTTGCTGAGGAAGATTGGCCCTGAGATAACATCTGTTCCAACCTTCCTCTATTTTGTATGTGAACCACCACCACAGCATGGCCACTGACAAGTGGTGTAGGTCCATGCCTGGGAACCGAACCTGGGCCACCAAAGCGGAGGGCATCAAAATTAACCACTAGGCCACCAGGGCTGGCCCTCCTTTCTTTCTTTGTACACAATCCCTAATTTTTAAGCCGAGCATATGGTGCTTAGGATAAAGACTACATTTCCTGGCATCTTTTGCAGCTGGATGTGGCCATTTGGCTAAGTTCTGGCCAATGATATGAAAGTGGAAATGTTTGCAACTTCTAGGACACGATCTTATAGGGAAGGGACATGCCTTTCTTCTCCTTCCTCCATTTGAATATGATGATGGATTCTCTAGCCACCAAGTTGGGCTGTAAAGACACAGGCCACAACCTGGGGATGGTAGAGCCTTGAACTGGAAAGAGATGGAGTTTGTTTCTTAATGACTTCATAAAGCCACTACACATTCTGCCCTGCCTACCTCCTGCTTTTGTTTATGGAAAAGAGCAGTAAACTTCCATCCTGTGTAAAGCACTGTTATTTTGTTGTTGGGTCATATGCAGCCAAATCTAATCCTAACTTATCCATGTATTTTTTCCCATGAAAACATTTACACCCTATATTATCACTGTGCAGTTACTTATCTGAGTGAAACAAAATCTGCCTTACTAGGGTTTACACTCTTCTTTTTAGGCAGATGGCTCCAAAGTTGCCCCCACCTAACATAACCCATCACTCATATATCTGCAAGTGTTCAGGAAGTAACTGGAAAGCCAGCCCCAATTATCCAAAGGCAATGCTGTGGAACCATTTGCAATGCCACTTTCAAGTCTCAGGGTTTATAGTCTGTAGGTGATGCCGTGGTTAAGACTGTGTCCATTTCTCCTGTAGTGCACTTTCTCTCTCTCGGACTCAACAGTCAATAATAACACCAAGAGACCCAGAGAAAACAAGAAGGCAAAAAAACACACACAAAAATGTCTTATAACTGGCATCTCCTAGAATACGTATCCTGATGTTGTGGTATTTGCCAAGTCAAAAGTAATTTTAAAAACTCTGACGGTTTGGCATTTAGAGTATTGAAAGCAATCTGGAAAATCTCAGTAGCCAGAATTTGCATCTCCATCACTAGCTGCAGAAACAGATTGTCAGGATGGATTTGGGGAGGATCAGAGGAGTGAGTGTGTCCGGGTATATCAGCTCATTTGCAACAGCATTAATGAGTTTGCTGATACACTCTTTAACAGACTCTAGCACTGAGTCTCTGCTGATTAATTCACCTTTTCTCTCCCCCAGAGCCTTTCAGAGGTCAAATACTGTGCGATGGTGTTTTATGCCCTTGCACCAAGGGTTTCTGCTGTAATTGGCTCACCTGTAATTGATAAAGTCTTCCAAATATAAGCAAAAGTAATAATGGCCAAGAGATAGATAAAGCTCAAAACCTGGACAATAGCCTAGAAATCTGAAACAAAAATAATTATACATTATCAACAGAATAATATCCAAATGTCTGGACAAATCTGATCATCTTCCAGTGTTGAAGTCTCAATTATGCTGGGTTTTTGGAATTTCACTGTCATAAGCCAGTAGAATCTGCAATAATAACTCTGATTGGAGGACGAATGTTTAATAATTAAAATGACTAGTTAATTTACCACATACTATTCCATCTGATTCTTCTCTTTCAGCTCCAAAGCCACAGTCACATGCCACAGCTTGGAACAAGAAAGAATCGCTTGTCTAGGGCTCCTGCCAAGGGCCTCCACAAAGTAACCTCATTCCCCAGAGTATGTCCACAGGGTTTATGCAAGTTGACCCTCTACAACAGGGGTCAGAGAATCCAACTTGGCAATATCTATTCATGTACAGTCATCAGAGAATTCATATAAAATAAATGAGAGTCAAAATAATAATGCTGCCAGAGCCCAGATAAAATGACTTCTCTCCTTTATGTTACATGAAACCTTCTTTTCCCCCTGCCACTGATGGTGCACACGTTACTCTGGTCATCAACCTTCTACTCACTCGGCTCCAGGGTGCACATTGTGACCCATGTGGCAGGGCTCTCCTTTTTACACAGACTCTGGGCAGGGGAGGGTTGCTCTTAAAGGAGGATCCCAGCAAGGACTCTTGGCACTCAAGGTCCTTCCCACACATTCAGCTAACATTGATCAGATATTTTAGAGGAGCTTACTATGTGCCGGGTGCCATGGTAGGTACTAGGGATACAATGTGATTTAAAAAAATGGAGTCCCTGCTCTCAGGGAATTAAAGCAGGCTGGATAACAGTGGCTAGTGCCTATTGACCAACTGCTGTATGCTTTATATACATGACCTCACGTAATCTTCAGCCCAATAAAGCAGAAGGCTGTTATCATCCCCATCTTTAA